ATGATCTGGATAGCCCACAGGCATACCATAAAAATTTCTAGGACCCATAATTGGTCTCCTTTAAACAATTGTGTTTATTCTGGTTTTTTATGGCTAAATGTTTTCTTTTTTCTGATGCTGTTCCACTCCTTCTGTTGCATGTTATTTATTACATGTTTAGTCATTGTAAAGCACTTGTACACAAACATACATGACTAGAAATAATAAATAATTCACATTCAAAACAAACACACACTCACACACAAACATACGGCCTTGGCGGAGGTTTGCGCTCRGAGTGCTTCTAGTTTATTGTTATTTTTGTCAGATTCTAGTAATTTCTGTGACCATTGTGAGTTTTTCTTTCATTAAACAAGGGGTACCAACAATTTTGTCCAGGTGTGTACATAATACCCTCCCCCTTAAAACTAATATGCCGCAGACAATATGCATTTCTTCATAGGATGCTTTCTATTTAAAAATAAATGTATTAAATCAGTGCAAAGATATTTAACTGGTGCAACTAGATTTAATTTCAAAGCAGCATCTTTTCAAGCTTGTACTATTCATGTATTTAAGTTGTAGTCAGYGCAGTAAAAATCATTAAAATCTAGTTAAACTGGACATTTTTTGTTAGACTGCTTATATAAAAACAAAACATGATTATAACAAAGACACAGGAAGAAGCAAAATATCTAACACTATAAAAAGTGCACATTGTGTAACTCCTAAATGCTGGTGTAATTATGTGCTGAACATACTGGTACTGAATGTGTGGGAGTGAGCATGTGTAGTGTCTTTGAGGGTGTTTGACCTTCATGATTCCATTCCAGTTGTCCCCAGTAGAAACTCTGAAGAGCAAAAGAAATGCCATCCCAAAGTTCCTGAATGTGGCATAGCGACCCAGACCCTCACATGGATGGAGCTCATCACAAACTGTGGAGAAAAGAGGAAGGTAAGCAGACAGAAATAGAGATCAAAAGAGACATGGGAAGACGGTAACATCTGTGGCTTTTCCCAGGGCTTTGAAGTCAAATCATTACTGAAATTCAGTGTTGTAAATCTTAAAGCTGCACGACACAATTAGAGCAATCAATATGGTATTTTAACAAAGGATTCTAGAAAGCAATTAAAAGTAGGTTGACTGAACCCACTGAGGGAAGAATGAACATTTGGTGCAAGCCAGTGCATTCTGTTCTTCACAGCTTAACTTTTTAAAGAGTGCATGTGTCCTTACTCAAGTCACCAAAAAGCTCCACTCCCAGTGCTGCAAAGATGAAGAAGAGGAGCATAAAGAGTAGACCCAAATTGCCCACCTGCAGAGACAACCAGGAGATATGAAGAAATCCATTTGTTAGAAGGAAAACATGTTGAAGGTAAAAAAAACAACAACTTTGGATTGACTGTTTGCTTACACATATCAAATCACTTTTTGAAATTGCTCATTTTATTTTTATTCAGACATATCAGTGAAAGTGACCACATTGTACATTGTTTTATTATTTTTTTCAAATTCTGTTGAAGCATGGTTGACTGAAAATACATTTCCTCAAAGATATTTTTAATCTGAAAAAAGACCCCTTATGATGAATACAAACAGTGGATCTGGCGTTCCCTCGCCCGGACGCGGGTCACCGGGGCCCCCCTCTGGAGCC